AGTGGAAATATTCAGTTATAGCAAATATTAACTGCTACAAAGATGAATAATTCATAGCAATGTCATTAAGGCTATAAAATCAATGCACATTTGATAATTATGTAAACCACTAAATAAGGAAAATAAGATACCTCATGAAATAAAACCAGCATTAACAATGTTTTTGGAGGGGATGTTTCTGTGTCCAAAGTTGAAGGTCATATGCATTGTGACTGCCAGGTGCCACAAATCATTAATTGTGGGATATTCATTTCAAGTGCATACATGATTATGTTTCTATTAGGTAATGAAGTATGGTTTATGTTTTATAGTGTTGTTGCAAGTCCAAAATGTGCTCCTCTCTCAGTCTTTAAGTTCTGAGGTCAGTACAAGCTAGGTACCAAGTAACAAGTGTTACTTGTCTTCGTGGGAAACTCTGCAGGAAGCCATATTCGTTTGAGAACCCTTAGGCAAAGCCTGAGGATGAAAGAGGGGAACACCTTCTGTGGTCCTTGGATGCAAAGACCATCAGATAAAAACAGGATGACTTTGTGCTGTGAATGATGATTTACAAAATACATTTGGTGAGCACCCCCTCTGGAGGAGAGCAAAATAAAAGGCAAATAAACATGATCGAAGATTAATGAGTTCAATGCGATGTATTATTCTGCAGAATCAAATAAGCCTGAGGCGTCGCATTTCAGATGGCCCACTCTTTGATCATTTCAAATAATTACCATATTATGAATTCGTAGCTCACTGCATTAGGATGTTGCACAGCAGACATTGTCCTTCATCTCTTGTCTGTGTAATTGGATTTTACGATGAAACAACAGAGTTTAAGTCTTTTACAACTCTTTTAGATAAATGTATAATGCTTGTGTGTTTTGTCATTTCTGGTGATTGTCTGGTCAGACTCTAGAGCTGGTTTGCAGTCATTCAGCTGCAGGCAAGCTGAATCAAAAGTTATTGCCTTAGGTTTAAAGGTAAATTAGTATAGCTTTCAGTTAAAGCTTCATCCAATCGTTTCATAGTTGATCCAATTATACAGCAGCAGTAATTTTTTTATGTTAACACATTCACACAGTCTTTAAACTCATGGCCAAGTTTATAAAGGTCCTAATGACTATTTGAAATCAGCTTTATTGGTGTCCTAACTCAGGCCTTTTATTGTTTTCTCTTTGGCAGTGCGTGTCTTTTAGCGCTGTGATGGAGGAGTTGGGTATCTCCCTGCAGTGTTACAAAGGCATCCGGAGGAGGTCACGACCCCACAGCGGAGCAAGGTCAGCTTGCATCTTCTGTCAACCAAAACGCACTGCAAAGAGGGAGGGAGCGAGGCGGGACTCCAGCACGTGAGCCATGGATCTAAAAAAAACAAAACAACTGATGGAACTTAGATCAGAGACCGCTGTTTGATCCCTGATTTGTTTGTGGGCCATCGAATGATATGAAGTTGTTTCCTCATCACCCATGTCTTTATACTGTATGTATATGGGTAACACATTAAGCATTAGACTGTAGATGTAGTTTACAAAGTCCTGGCCTTGTATCAACATTGATAATGTTAAAACAGGTGATGACTACATGAATGAAAGCCCTCTCATGGTATAAACCTTTGCTGTTCCCTCATGGCTGTAGTTCACTGTTCTGAGCAGTTTGCAGAGTTGAATCTGCACACTTTATAGATACTCCAATTGTGTAAATGTATGACGTCACTGATTTTAAGTAAAAAGATTTTTGCATTTTTTAAACCGTTGTCCGATTTGCTGTTGGTGTTGTTTATGATTGGCAGCGGTGTGCGCCCATGTCTTCCCTGTGTAAGGCAGGCAGCAGGCAGCAAAGTAGCTTCAGAGCGGATTTCTGAGCCAACCCTGGCCAGTGAAAAGAGATAAGGACCTGTAAGGAAAGTCAGGAGCACACCTGCCGTTTTATACCCTTCAAGCACCAACATCACAGACATCAAACACACACTCACACATTCACACACACACACACACACACACACACACAGCCTCACAAATATTTGTGACCATAACATAGCATAGTCTATGCACCAGAGAAGGGATATGATACGGGGAGAAGCAAAGGACGAAATAAAAAGCAGTTGTTTGATTATGCATGAAATTCTCAAGAGGTCAAAGACAAAACACAATTTCCTTGTTCTCCTGGGAGTAGCAGTCTTTTCTTAAGTCATTTTTTTCTGTTTTCAGTTGTTGAATTTGAAAGCCTGAGGTGAGATCTTGTCTCCCAGTAGTGGCAGAGGATCTCAGTGGATGTGTGAAAAGTGAAAAGCTTCTCTTAAAGTATTTTTAAGTTATATAACTTACCTACCAGCCAATTTAAGGTGCATTATTATTTATGATAAGACAATTATTAGACAAACCATAATATTAACATATAACATTCCTGCAAAAGTTCCTTCATAAAACATTCCTCATAAAAAAATTTGCCTTTATTTACCAGTCAAACAAGTTTTCTTTATCACACATTTAAAGCAGGAAGATCTATTGCCTGATAGCAGTGTTTGCAGCACACTGGCCTTGACCTGCAGGTAATCAGAATGAGGGATAAATATGTTCTCAGCAGTTTCAGCACAATTACCTCTCTGTGGTATAAATACCGAAAGCATCGATTCATATTTTTATTGATATTGTTTCATATTTTCATTTTACAAGTCGTTTACATCCTCCTAGCTTTATGCTACATTAGGAGCTTCCACATATACTCAGGAGGAGTAACATGCTCTTTGTCTCTCTGCCACCTCTTGCCCAATCTCTTCATCAGCACCTAGTTTTTGCTGTGCTAAAGGAGCACATTAAGCATTAAATCGTACTACAATTCATTATCAGTAATGTCAGGCCTTTCAAAACTGACCTCCGATTCCCAGTTTTCACCAGCTAATGCAATGACATTTCAAACAGGAAAGAGCAATAAATGGATATAAATACTTTATAAATTACTCGAGTCAAAGGTTTTGTTGTGACATTTCTCTCGGTGGATGGTGTGCACTGGTTTCTGTGCATCCTAGGAGAATTGGACAAGCTTTTCTTAATCTCTTCATGTAATGAGTTTTCTCTTTTTTGCTATTCAGATTAATTCTGGGATTGGGCTCAGTTCAATGTAGTAGCGTTTGGTTGTCGCTAATCTCCTAACCCCATAATTCTTAATCAAAACCAAAGTCAGTATTTTTTTTTATCATTATCTAATCCATCATGAATGAGGCCATGGATTACAACTCTGACCTTGGCATTCTGCACGGCTGAGCAGGACTCTCCACCTTCTCACTAACCTAAAATGACCTCACCTGAACAATGTTGTGCTGTTGGCCAATGTTTCTGCCTTTATGTTGTTATTTCTTTCACCCACAGAAACTATTTGCCTCAATGGTCCTAAAACACAAAGCCCCCAAGCTTTGCAGTGGTGGAGAGGCAAAAGAGAAATGGGGAGAGATAAGGCATAGTGGCATCTGTCTGACAGCATATCAGTAAGAAGGTCAGAGATTATATACCATACTTCTATACATCTGGCATATAAAAAAAAAAAAAAAAAGCGATTTAGAGAGAAATCCAGGGAAGGCATGACGTAGAGACAGCTTAAAGAGCCTGTCTTTGACAACTTAAATATGCCCAAAAGGGCAGAATATTATAGAAAGGATAAATTGTCCACCTTGTTGTATAAAACCAGCTTAGACATTACTTGTAGAAATTTCTACCCCTCTAAGTCTCTTAAATCTCACACATAAGTCCTTCAGACCTGTCAGGTCTGGTTCATGTATCACTACACAATGCTCTCAACTGTACATACAAATACAGGAGAATCAAATCTAAACCATGACTCTAACATAAAAGAGTGGCAGACAGTTGAGTGTGTCCTATCCATCACAATGAGATGAACAGTCCCTTGGGCTGATAAGGCAGGTCTGTCAACAGCCTGTCAATGAAGACAAACGAGGAAGAGGAGGACTCTTGGAGGTGCAGAGCATCATTTATCTCTCTCTCTGTTTGTCTCTCTGTGTCTCACTTTCTTTGCTGCCATCTGAAAGTCGGGCTAGGAATAATTCAGGGAATACTTTCGTCTGCTAGTGTGCAGGTGAAGTGGCCTTACAGATATATAACTACACTAATTATTTCGGAGGGCTGCAGGGCCTAATTAATGATGTTTTTTCTCCTTATAGACTCATCCTCAAATGCTTAAGGTCAATTTAGCATAAATAATATTATGATGTTTAGGTCTATTATGAATTCTGGTCATACATTCATGTCCGCTTATAATAAGACCAGATGGAAGGCAGACTGTGATGCCCTTTACCCTAGTTTCAAGTTGTGATGAAATATACTTTGCAACTGTAATAGGAAGGAAAAACAGCCATGTAAATGTTTTATTATCTAAAAGGCATACTCGAGCTATTTAGCAGTGCATCTCCATAAAGTTGGGAGACTTGCAAGAGACAGGAAACTAATTCAATTTGTTGAAATTGAAGCAACAGACACAGAGATATGCTGATTTATATCCTGTCAAGCTCCAAAACCATGGAATCCTACACTTCCCATAATGCAACTCAACTAATGTGTTTGCATTAGACGTGATCCTGCCTATTAAAAGCCCAATTTATCAAACTCCTCATTCACAGTTTCTAACAAACTATTTTAAAAATGTCTGAATCTTAGTCTGGAAAGAAAGTAAAATGTAAAATATGTAAATTGTATCCCTTTAAAAAGCCTCTAAGTGCCACAGAATCACACTTTGTCTGAAATAGACTGTGTATTGCAAGAAACTCCCCATAAGTATAAAAAGCCACCTGCCTTAAGGTGGGCTTGCCCTGCACTTTATTCCCAAAACAGAAACAGACTTGGATGCTCTATTTTCTTCCGAGAGCTATTATAGCAGAGATGTTCATTCTGAGCAACTGCCTCATTGCACAGCTATTGCAAAGCCAAAGACCTTCCCAGCGGCATGACCGTGTCACTCAAAGCAGTGCTAGAGCTATGGGCATTTTTGTGGGCTAGAGTCATGTCATCTGAGACATTTAATTGGGCCCAGGCCACCACAGGGGGACAGCGGACGCATTCCTCCACTGCCTGTGCCCTGTTGTGTTGCTCTTCGCCGCGTGGCTGCAGTCCGTGGATAACATGTCCCATGCCCACGCAAACTGGATCTGCTGGAGTGCCTCTGACTGACACCAGTGCAGTGAACCCTTTGACTATGGTTGGAAAACTTCTGAATACAAGATAATATAGTTAGTCTCAAGAGGGAAGTGTTGGTCAACTCTTGGACAGATAGTTGTGCCATATCTGCTGAATTTGTGCAGGCTGAGAGAAGAGCTGCGCTTTTCATGAAGAGACCTCAACAGTGGTCCGACCAGGAACAGACAACAGTCACCACTGAGGACGTACACTGCTGATTTTAAACTTTATTACAAGGAATTTTCTTGCTCGGGTTCGTGCTGCTTCAGGTAACAATGACCTGTTGGTCCAGATGGGTCTTTTACAGCTACCTAGTGCATGCTGGATATTGTCCATATATGTAGAATATACTAGTCTCCATCATAATGTAGATTATATGCCTACAATATGTACACTATTAGACTATTCCACTCACTAATACTGTCAATATTTTGATACAATGCATGTTTTGATCAGTCAGTACAACACCAAAATCTGACCTTTAAATGCTTTTCCAAAAACTGAGACCTTAATAAAAATAGTGCTTATTTTCTGGTGTAGAAGGTCATTGAGGCATGTTGTATGAGACAGAGGGTTTACCAGGGTTAAAGCAGGCAAATGCCCAGATATAAAAAGCCTGTACCTTCGCTGGAGGGGGGCATACAAAATCCAGACCTCAGAGCCAGTTTGTCAAAGCTCACTAATTATTTTATTCCCACCGCAACTCTAAATGCATGATGAAACCGGTGGCTGTGTGTGTGTGATCATAAGGCTCTATACTGGTGTGGTTTAATCACATACTTTATCAATGGGTTTGCGGGCTTTTATTCCAACTGAACACTACACCTGCTGAGTTCAGTATTTAGCTTCTCTCTCTGATTAAAATGATAAATATGCACTGTTGGAATAAAGCAGAAAGAACTTACCTACATGTCTCATTAGGGCTAGTCATTAATCTGCTGATTTATTCAATTATTTTATATTGTTTGGTGCATAAAATGTCAAAGAATCGCAAAAAAATGTCCTTCAAAGTTTCCCAAAACCTAAAGTGACAACTTAAAATAGTTTGTTCTGTCCAAGCAATGGTTTAAAACCCAGAGACACACAGTCTACTAGTAGTGATTTCTTTCCCTGATTAATCCCTTTGCCGTCTATTTTCAGTTGATTGACTAATCGCTTAATTATTGCATCATCACTTGTCTTTCATGAAATCCTTTTGATTGTGCTAACAGCTCTGTTTTGTGCCTGTGGCCTCATGAAAGGATAAATGATCACCTCAACCAGAAGAGTGTCTCCTGATAAATCTGAAGTTAGAATTGCCTTCAGCCTCGACAACACATCAGGTAAACACACACGCATATACATACCATAGCCACACTACCATGCGCTCCCTTCACACTCAAATTCACACACACACACACACACACACACACACGTTCCAGTATCTCAAAATGATTGTAACAACTTATTTTGAGTTCCGCCATTGCTCTTTTAACACCTGACAAAGCTTGGAGCTCTACTCTCACTGCATTTCCAGTATGTGTGGAAAACACATGCACAACATTCTTCCCACCAAAACAGATCAGGCACCATCTACCCCCAACCACCCACCCACCCTATCACTTTAACTGTGTTCATTCTTCTGTGCTGTAGCTGAGACAGGTGCTCCCTCTATTTCTGTAGGACCACAGCACATTAAAAAAACAACCACACATGCATGTGCGCAGCTGTGCACTTGCAAAAACACACACCTATGCACCAACACAAGTAACTGCTCAACCTTTATGTAACTAACATTATTTAACTCTTTTAATCGTCAATGAAAACACACACACACACACACACACACACACACACACACACACACACACACACACACACACACACACACACACACACACATACTCAAATGTCTACCCTACCTATAGTGTCAGTCAGGATGTTTTACTGCAGTGGGGCCAGGCACTGGGACAGCAGCTGCAGCTATGCAATGGCAGAGTCAGGTTTCCCCTCTAATACTAACAGTGTCCCGCTGCCTGATTCACTGTTCAGCTTTTAGAACACTGGCCTATATTTATAAGCAGTTAACACTTCCAGTCCTACTCCATCCTTCTGCGATCTCCCTTGTCTTTCTCTTAGGGAGTGAGATGAAGGGCTGTAGTAGGAACGACACACTCAAATCCCACTCTGAGCAGAGATTCAGTGAACTCTGTGACATTCTGTCTGTCATTCATACATAGCAACATGGCCTCTTACTGAATTACTTTTTCATTTTTTAATCATATCGTTGTTCTTGTATTTCTGGCTTGCTCTTTCTCCATTTCATCCATTTGCGTGGATTCAGTTTAGTTTCACCTCGCTTCCCAATGAAAAGTTGTGGGCTTGTGGGTGGGTAGCATGATACATGCCTTGTTTTACTTTTAGTTGTATCTCTGGAGCTGTTCAGGCATAATTTGACTCTAACCTCCAAATTTGTGTTGTCGTCTCTTTGAACTCGTGTTTCTCAGTGGGGGGACTGAGACCTGTGCTTCGTCTAGGGATCATCCTCTAGGCCCCTCATGACTTCATGCCAGGCATAGTTATAACCCCACACTGTGTGTCAATCCTAAGCATGAGAACTGTATTTATTCCACATCATAATTGGCCCCATGGCTGCAGGCAGGCCCACTAATACTCCTCCTTTTAGAAGATTGCATCATCCCAGGATTCTCCACATGTGTTCCACAACTCCAGGGGGACATTACTGGCGAGGCAGAGGCTGGTGCAGACAACCTGTCTGTTTCTGTCTGTCTGTCTGTCTGTCTGGCTGCCTGTCTGAATCTCTCACTGTCCATACATCTGGCCTGTCTGTTCTTTCTGCCCACTGTGTCTGTGTGTCTGTCTGCTCACATAGTTGTCCCTCTGTATTTGTACCCTGCATGTCTTTCAGTCTGACAGCTCATTAATGCTGTACAATAAGAAGCCATGGTTCATTTATTTAAGTGTAGCACTGTGTTGCTATGTTGTGATGTCATATAAGAGACCCCTATAGTGTTATATTTGGGGCCATTATATGAGGCGGAGAAAGGCATTAAAGCAACTGCTTGTAGGACAAGTCACCTGGCTGTACATACAGCAAACAATGTTAATGAAAAAAAAATTTTTTAGAAGACATTATGCTGAATTTACATTGTCCTTCAACAGTAGCAGTTAAAAAGATAAAATATTGCTTGTTTGTCTTTCTGTTTTTTTAAAGGACATAGCTCATAAATGCAACACATTTTTAGTTGTCAATACCAAATGTAGGTGCTTCCTGCAATGCTTCCAATCTTTGTTTGAATCATTTGCTGCATACAACTGTATCACAACATTAGTCTAATCTAGATTTGACAAAATAATCTATGTCCCACAAGTTTGAAGTCTCTGCCGGCTGAATATCGCAGAGTACTTAAATGAAGGGAAATCAAGAACGTCTGGACGGAAAGAAATCAATCTGAAAACCAGCAGTGGAAAGTAGGACTTTTACTTGTAACAGAATATTTTTACAGTTACAGTTTACGACTACTTTTACTTACTTTACTTTAGAAAATCTGAATACTTGATCCACACTGCAGAAAACATACTGTATACCTTGAAAAATAGTCAGCAGTAACGCTGACCAATCTCCATCTCTATGTTGTTGTCCTGTTTTATGTTGTTATGGACCTATGTGTTAAAAAAGGTTAAATAGATGCTTTAATAAAAATAAAGCATACGCAATTTGTAGTAATGCAAAACCATGAAAATATTATGTTAAATTTTTTCTATCATTTACCAATAACGTGTTTTGATTTTACAAGCTGCATTGCACTCTGCTGATTATTCATTGTTCTTAGATCAACATTTAATCAATGACATTTTGAATATTATTATTTTTACCTGAGTTACCTTTCTGTAACTGAATAATGTGTTCTATTTGAATAGATGTAAAAGATGTGGAGGACCTCCCTCAGACTTTCCCGGAACTTGAACATCGATTACAGGTATACAGAACAGTACAAACTGTAGCATCACATTATATTGAACACACCTTACATTGTTGGCAGAGCAGCATGAGAGGAGAAAATCACAATATGGACGAGAATGTAATGACTTTCAATTTAGTGCATGCATCCTAAAAAAAATTATGTTTTGTTGTATTTCTCTCAAACAATGCAACACTAAATGCATTTCCAATTTAAAATATGTTTTCATTTTGAACATGTCTGATCTGTTAAATATTACTTTTGCTGTCATTATTGCTCTCTCCACTTACTGTATAATTAACTCACAACTGAAAGCCAGATAAGACACTCTGGAAATCCCTAACTAAGAGCTGGGCAGTTTGAGAGAAGTATAAGAAGATCAAAAATTAACCTCATTATAGAATAAATCATGATAAATTGGACACTGCAGGCTGATTATATAAGAAGTGTGTGTGTGATGGTGGAATTTTCCCCCTGAAGCTCTACTCTATTTAGGGTAGACGCTGAATGTGTTATCTGTAAAATTAGGAGAAGCTTGGGTTGGGATTATCAACCCTGTAAATCAATGTTTTCACTGTGTGCGCTCACTGCTATTAGTGTTGTCATTGAATTATCCTTCAACAAGTGCCAGCGCTAGGGTCACATAAAGTGCATGTTGGTTTAGAGTATCAAATGAGAACAGTAGTAGCAGGCCAATGAATGACACTTCATGCACTGCACTACAGGCTAATAGAGACCAGCAGGTTTTGATGTTGTTTTTTTCTTGTTTACACAAAATCATGAAATAATAATTATATATAAGACATTTCAATGTATATTACTGTAAACATTGTTTATGTCATTTTGTGATATGATTTGAACGTGCAATCTTCTGATCTAGTGTCAGACATGCTCAATTGTTGTCCTCAAGCACAGCAATGTCATGTTTCACCAGTATTGATATCTGCAGCAGATTTTGTGTTTATTCTCCCATTACTCTAGGAGATAACTTGTCATGGATCAAAGTATGTGGCAATATTGCCTCTGGGGCTCTGTGGAAATGGTCAGCGGATCATTAGGAATTAGCCCTGTAGCTGCCTTTTAGCATAAGGTGTAATTAGAAACAAAGTCAGGGAAAATCGAGGTTTGCTTGGAAAAATGTTTTAATCAATTCCATTCCATGTCAATGTCTGTAGGTGGTGCTGCTTATATAATCTGTTTTGCCTAATGGCCTGCGTCTCTCTGATGTCACATATCTCTCTCTGACCTCTTGCAGCCAGTGCCCCCCTGTGTGTCTCTGGGAGAGAGCGTTCAGGTGTACAAGGAACACTGCAGGATGGCAAGAGAGTTCCACCAGGTCAAACATGAGATTGCTGTGCTTGAGGACCGCAAGTGAGTCCCTCGAAATGCTTTTTTATGAAACAAAAACAAAATGGGAGATCTTGTAGTTGCAACGGTAGCATGTTCAAGTGTCACTGATTGGACAAAGAAGAAAATACATTCAGTCTTACTGTATATACAGATACTCTGTAGTTGTCTTGACAAGAGATGGCATGTAAGTCACAAGGAGAAGGCATTTAAAAAAATATCCGCTTACTTGTACACTATTAATTAATATTGATTTAAAGAGAACCAGTGGTGGAAGAAGTACCATAGTGTAAAAATACTTAAGTAACACTCAAGTATAACAAGTTAAAGTTCTGCATTCAAAATGAATAGTGCACAGGTATAATAATCAAAATATACTTAAAAGTATCAAAAGCATTCATTAAGCAGAATGGCCCATTTCAGAATCATATATATTATATTGCTAGATTATAACTATTGATTCATGTGCTCATCACTTTAATGATGCAGCTAGTGAAGGTGGAGCTAATTTTAGCCACTACTACTACCACTACTACTACTACTACTACTACTGTACTATTTAATCTATAATTATACACATAATTCATGTGTTACTTTAAATATATTTGTATTAATAATCTTAATCTTCAAAGTAACTTGTAAGAGCTGACAGATAAATGTAGTGGAGTAAAAAGTAAAATATTTCCCTCTGAAATGTGTGAGTAGAAGCAGCATGAAATAGAAATACTCAAGTAAAGTACAAGTACCTCAAAAATGTAAAAGCACAGTACTTTTACCTTCTACCTCTTGAGGAGAACAAATGCTGTTGTAAGACTGCAGGGCATTTTGAATCAAAATGTCCACCAGATGGCGCATGGTTATTACCTCCATACAGCCTTTATCACATGATTTACTGAGACACTGTTTCCTTAAAATAACATTTGGACAGGTAATGTATGACTTTGATTGATCAGATGCATTTTTAGTATTATAGTTACTTGACAACAAGATCAAGCATGTGGGAGGAGTGTGGATGTGAAGGTTACACTGTACTCTGAGTTTCTTTGGTTGATTCTGGATCATATTTGGGGAAAGCAGCCGCTTTGCTTCTGCTTTGTTGTTAATATTACACCAACTGAAAACCTTATCAGGTATAATTCAGTGAGAGCTTCTGTATGTTTTAATGTGTTTTAATTTCATATGTACTGTATACGCTTGCACATAAGCAGGGGTATATAACACACACTGTCCCCTGTGCCCTCAGCAGCTGCGGGTAGTCTTAACAGAGGGATTTTCAAGCCCCTTGCCGTTAACTCCACCACCACACCTACACACACGCACACACACAACCTACACCACTTGGCAGTACCTAAATAGAGAACAGCAGGCACACTCTGATATGAGTATAGCCCTGAGTTTAGATAAGAACATGATGAGTCAGGCCGGTAGAAACTCTTGATTCTCTCTTTTCACGCTGTTGCTCATGCCAACACGTACACACAGAAAAAGTCAGATGCACACTTGCAGTAAACTAAAACACGACCCTATTGAAGGCGATACCATAAATCACCAATACCTTTTATTAATTGGAACATTTAATATATTTCCGTGGAAGAGTGAATATTTTCATGCATGATACAATGAATGTTTTCTAACTTCCCATATGGGGAAGATTGCAGTCAGAGTGACAGGAGAGTTTCAGACATACACTGAAGTGTTGCAAGGATGACAACAGGAACAACACTTTAACACACTGTGGAGGGATTTTCCAAAATTCATTCACAGTCTGCTTTTGGTCAGTATAAATACATACTGTAACACTCATCTGTAGTGTCAATTGTACCTCATATAACCAGCCCTCTAATGCAAGTGAACTGAATAACCAGCATAATGTAAAAATAAAAAGTTCTCAAAGCTGCAAAAACCTGCCTCACTTTGAATAGAAACGTTGACTCAGAGATTGTTATAAGGCCTAGTTAAGCCTATCATGATACTAAGTGATTACACAAGAGCCCTATTGTGAAAGAGTTGTAAAAAAAAAGACTTTCTTTTAAACATTCATGTCTTATTAGAAGTTTTAAGTGTATTTTGGTGCATAGGGTAAGGTATTTGAGATTGTTTTATATCTGTTGAGTATCAGTGTATGAAATGTTTTCTTTACGTGCTATTTTTTTTAGATCTTCAGAATTTTTAGAATATAGAAGGGTTCAGACTCTCTGTCTCACCAACAATCACACAAACACATATATGCAGGTACACATGCGTGTTTCAACTTGCTTCAAATTCAGCAGGAACGTAATCTAATGCATCTAAATCACTAATCTGTAAATGACACTATGTTTTGCTTGCACTTGAAGATGTGTAACCCAAAAAACAGTGAAACCATGTATGACTGTAAAGTCATAAATTACAGTAACCACATGCCTTCCTTGCCTCTGTGTTTAATGCAGACATAAACTAATGTTTACCAACTCAGATGGAATTACCAGTCTTAGGGAAATGTGTAAAAACTAAAAATAGATTGTGGATGTGGAGATTTACATGTCATAGTTTCCATCCAAACAGTTTCTTTTGGAAACTTTTATTATTGCTTCCTGCTTGTGGATCTGGTCTTTCAGGAAATGAACTGTCTGAACCTGGTTTTAATGGTAGACAGGAAGATTTAAGAGGATTTACAAGAATATTTAAAATGAATAGTCCATAGTAACCAACTGTTAAATTATACAGAAAAGGTTATTGTATACATTTGACATTCTCTGTATTAAATACGATATTTACTAAAAGTTAATTCAAACAGACATGAGAAAGAAATTGTTTCGAACCACTTGAAACCCTGCTATCACTTTCATATGAATACACTTTTTTTTATATCAAGACAAACCCTAAATAAAAACTTTGGTTATTTGTTTTCTATATTTGTTTAAATCTGCTGTGCTTTTAAACGTAGCTGGAAAAAGTTGTTACCACTTTGGCCAACCTGTTAAATGTATGCGTAATTTGTATGGTCAAAGAAACCTCTGAACAATTGCAACCTCCTTCAAAAAAAAGACCAGTACCTTAACATATTTCATAGTTATGTCTTTGAAGCACCACAGACAGCCTTTATTGTAGAATAGAGACTACTTTTCCTCTTTTTTGATGCTGCTGTTATGTGACTTGGCACTTCCCAGCTGTAATACAACACGGACAGTCACACACTCTCTGAGGCCATGACACGCACATTGTACACATACGTGTGTTTATATGCTTACACTGCGTTTCAAAGTCCAAAGGCTGATCTCTTCTCAAAGTGTGAAATCACTGTTGGCCAGGCGAAGTCAGCTCATGCTGCCTAAACCAGAGCCAGAGTCCTTCGGTTTGGTTTGGCTTCGTCTGGAAAGATAGTTGGGATGGGGGGGGGTTGGGGGGTAAGCATGTTATGTTAATTATTGTGTTATACACATACACGTCCTCACCCTACATGCACTTACAAGACACCAAAAAAATGTTGAGTGGAGAAACGTCCGACAAGAACATAACCTCTTACATATAACATATAAATATAACATTTCATATAAAAAAAAAATGTTGTCCTAAAATCTGTCACAAAAAGCATTCCCTTCCTGAAACAGAACTCAAGGTTCTTATGATCATCTCTCCTGAAGAACTCATCAGAAATGAGGGACATTTTACTCAAAGTGTAGCCCTTAAATTATTATATAATGAGCAATAAAACATATTACTGACTTCAGTCTCCCCTAAATCCCAAACAACATATTTTCTCTTTAGGCAGACCATGAAACCTGCTTGTCTCTATAACTAATAGTAATGTACCTTGACTTTTGACTTTTGGTGTAATTCTGTTCTTCCTCTACATTGAAGCAGTTTTTCATTGGCTAATCTGTTTGTAATGTAGGTTTTTCTTTTTCAGTTTTACACTGAGCATCATGAATTCTACACTGTGTTTGGCAATGGCCCGCCAAATGTCTTATTTACTTTTTCCATTGAGGTTAGCTTTATTGCCCAACAGGATCAATGGTGATGTTGAATGTTTTCCCCCAGCTCAACCCTTCCTGTAAGTTTACATTGTTTCCATGGCTATTTTGGTTTCTCCAGTTTCCTTCCATGTTCTAGAAACAAGATAGCTAATTGCTGTATGAATATGCATGAATGTCTGCCAATTTGGCATTCGCTGAACTGGCAACCTGTTATGGGTGTTTCCCTGCCTACAGCAACTAAAAAAGATTCAGCGAAACAGAAAATAAACAAATGACTCAACTGTCTATAAATTGATGATTTTGGAGAAATGCTGCACTGTTTGTGCATTTTAATGTGTTTTTTTTATTTCAACCTGCTGCTAAAATCTTTATCTCCCTCATCTACTTAGGCGTAAGTTGCTGGCAGAGCTGGTGGAGGATGAGAAGGTTGCCGTGGAGATCGCCCGTCTAGAGGAGGAGTTTCGGCGTCTAACAGAGGAGAACCGCACCTTGGTGACTGTCCACAACGAGCGCGCTCAGCAGCTGGAGAGCCTCTGCTTGACCAATCAGACGAGGCAGGACTCCTCGTGACCTCTGACCTCCGCAGAACCTGAGACCACTGAGCATACAGCTGATGCTCGGCCACGAAACCAAGCATAAATAAAGGCTCAGCTAGTGCTCATTCTACACAACAACAGTCAGTGAATCAGCTAGTTACACAGAAAGGCGCCGTGTTTATTCATGTCTGAGTCATTTGTTTGAACCGCAGACGTACTGTCATCATCAGTTTGAAGTTGTTATAGTGATTCTACCGAGCTATGACACAAGGCCGCTTTTCTTCTACTGTTTTATTTGTATGTGATCTTGCAGAACCCTCCTGGTCGCTTTTGCAATACCTCACAGTGTATTTATACGATGTCAGCTGCTGTGAATGTGACCAGATATTGTGATATCTGTCTCAGGTCCTGTGTAGACTCAGATCTTTTACCTGAGGTCTGTGGAGGGAGCCAAAGGTGGTATGATGTGGTCCAAATGTTGTATTTTAAGGAGCATTTACCCCTCCCTCTCTCTCTCTCTCTCTCCCTCTCTCCCACCCCCAGCACTTGCCTGTCAAGTTCCTGTTACGATAAAAAAAAAAAGGAAATGAAATGTGTTAAGGAGTTGTCAGGGATTGGGGGAGTTAGAGCCATTTGAGAGGAACAGCAAAAGAAGAAGGGTGATTATCGAGTTCACAATGAGTATCTGCCGCGACACAACACCTTTAAGAGTTGTACATTTTTTGATGTAGTGTGTCTCACCAACCTGTCGAAGGGGAAGTATACAACAAGATAAACTGTTGGTTATCGTCCTTGTCTATTAATAAAATGCATTTTATTTTAACACCAGCATCAGTTCCTTAGTTTCATTTCTCCAAGCCAGTTCTGTGGTGTTTGTTGATTTATGACCATATGGCAGCACTTACATGGAAAAGGGAACTAGATTTTTTTTTTTTCATGAGGGAGATTAGCTCATTCTGGAATTATGAAACAGTCACCTGATTGGACATTTTGACTTTGGCAGGCTTCCTTCTTCCTCCTTCAAATCATGTGACACTGGAAGCCTTGTAGTTATTATTATGATTACTCTGTTGTACTTTACTGACTTGTAGCCCAGCTTTGTAGGTATGTTTATTTTTAAATACAAAACTCACTAGCAAATTGTATCACTACACTATTTATCCGGCAGTTTTACTAAGGTACCTCTATAGTCATCCTATCACTTAGATTAATATTTACACAGCCAAAAAAGGCAGTCCACAAAAAAAATCCAAAATATAAAAATTATATGAGGACAAATATTAATTTAGATTAGTTGTAGTCTTTTACAGCTGTGTACTGTTGTACCTATGCCAGGAAGGCATTCTCTCTCTCTCTCTCTCTCTCTCTCTCTCTCTCTCTCTCTCTCTCTCTCTCTCTCTCTCTCTCTGACACAGACACCCACACACACACACACACACACACACACAAACACAACACAAACATAACAAAGAAGACTTTAACTGAGCTCACAGAAAGATTTCCTGCTACCTGGAAAACCAGCAAGATATAAGCCAACAAGGACTTACTGAGAAATATTAACCTTTGGATTAACATAATAGCCTTCATCTTATTGCAACAGGTCAGTTCCATTTTTTGTTTTACACTCTGTCTTTACACAACTTGCCTCAAAATGCACTGCATCTGCAATTAGTTGAGTTGAGTGAAGACAGCTCTAAACCTTAAGACACAGACAATAGACCGTATCCTTTTAAAAACTGTGTTTATATTCTCAACCTCTGCCTTAATCTCTGAATTGTGTTTGGGGGAAATCTATAAAGGGATTTTCTGGGAAAGAGCTGGTTACTTTACCAGACGGATCCAAGGGTGGGATTGGTGTGGACTGGAAAACTGCTTGCTCATTCTATATCAGCAGGAGTGCATGAGTCAGCGCTTGCTCTGTTACACCCAGAGTTCTTGCGACACACACAAACACACACTCTCTCTCTCTCCCTCTATCTCTCCCTCCCTCTCACATACTCACACACAGGCCATGTGACTGAGTCAAGCTCAGTTTTTAGTTTGTAGCTGAGTCGAGATAAGACTTTCTGGGAAACGTAGCCTGGTTGAACGGCATTCCATTTAGACTAACCATGAGTGCTCAACAGCTGGGACTTTAACACTCTAAGAAACTTCAATTTATAAAGTCAGTTTTGTAAGGTAGGCCAGTTTTTGTTATTATTCTAATGTATAACTTTTAAATTATGTATCCTGATAGGGGGAATGGTTAACTATTAGTCTGTGTGTGTGTGTGTGTGTGTGTGTGTGTGTGTGTGTGTGTGTGTGTGTGTGTGTGTGTGTGTGTGTGTGTGTTTGTTTGTTTCTTTGTGTGTACATATAGGTGTCCCTGATGGCCATGTCCGCTCCCCGGTCATCTGTGTTTACATTTGAGTCAACAGTGCATTCCTCCCATGTGCTGCGCTGCCTGGACGAGCAGCGTCACCGGGACAATTTGTGTGATGTTACAGTGGTGGTGGAGGGTCAGAGTTTCAGAGCCCACCGCTCAGTGCTCGCTTCCTGCAGTGAGTACTTCACACAGAGGATCTCCTCCCTGACACAGCATGGAGTGATCATCACTCTGCCACAAGAGGTGAGATGTCACCTGATGATGCCAGATGACAGATAGAGAGTCGGTCACACAAGTCCTGCTGCCCCACAACAACCAACACATAAAAGTGAAGTGAGAAACATGACTGAAGGGTTTATTTCCTCAACAAGTGTTAATGATTAATAGGCTGAATGTTTGAGATTTCTTTAGTAATGTGCTATGCAGTTTAGTCTAAAATCATGACCTGGAGTTTGTTTGCCTTTGAAGGGAAGTGTAGAATTAAATGTACTGTACCACTCTTACTACTTTTAAGCATCAAATTAATTGTTTTATAGTGGTTTCTAGTCTGCTACCAGTAGAAACATCCAAGTTGAACAAAATATAATTCCAAAAGGGGATTCCAATGGGGCTTTAGGAATAATATTAATGTTAAAGAAAAGAAAGGCCAAGAAATGTCCAAACAGTTTGGTCTTCAGAGGAAACGTTTTGAATGTTACTGTTGGTTTAGCTAAGCTAATAAGGCTCTTTTAATCACCAAATCCTCTTTTTAATTTGTTTATATTTTCCACTCATTTATTCCACAAGTACCGTGTTTCTTTTACAAAATGAATTTGCATTAACAAGATTCTTTAAATGAGCCTGCTGGTTCCCAATTTCTTTAACTTAAGAAACTGCAAAAGCCACAGAAACTAGAGTTTTTTTTTTAGTCATGTGTATTGACTGCTGAGTCAGCACAGCCCTGCAATCCTGGGATTTATCATTTGTAGTCAGAGTAGTTCTAATTTCATATCTGGGCCTACAGTAATGTATGCAGGATTATCTGACAGAAAATATTACTGAATAAACTATTGTAATCTTTGAGAACGAACCAGAGGATAGTCATATGTCCTCTTTCACAGGTGACAGTTGCTGGCTTTGAACCCCTGCTGAAGTTTGCCTACACATCCAAACTTCTCTTTGGGAAAGAAGATGTCTTAGAAATACGCAACTCGGCTTCCATACTTGGTTTCAGAGACCTAGACGAGGCATGCTTTGATTTCCTCCTCCCTAAGTTCTTCTCCAGCAGCAAGGGCTCTGCCCCCTTTCTGAGAAAGACCTGCTGTAAGAAGAAATGTAAGAGGCGATTATCAAAGGACAACCATGGCATAATCTCTGACAGTGCATTGTTGGATGAGAAAGAAGTAAAACCAGTTGCTGACTCACCATCTCAGCAGGAAGTGGCTTCGCTCTGTAAAAAATCAGAGAACAGCAAAATGGGAAGTCAGACCAGTACAGGCAGTCTTACACCTGTAGCTGAAGGGACAAATGACTATTTTATGCAGTGTCCAAAGTATCGCAGGCAGCTGGCTTGCGTAAAGGAAACTTGTGTCACAGACAAATGTATGAAAAGTCCAGCAACTGTAATCAAGGATGACTGTAATCTCTCCTGCTCGCCCTGCTCCAGCAGTTCCAACAGTAAGAATGAAAGTGAGGTTGAATTTCCAAGGAATCCCACCAGACAGAGCAATGAGGCGGCTGATGAACCATGGAAATTTGAAATACATGACAAGAAAATGGAGGCCGGTGTGGTTAAGAAAGAAACAAATGAAAGGCAGGGAAAGTGCAGTGAGAAGGAAAGAGATATGGATATAGGGGAACACATCAGCTTTTCAGACAGAGCCAATGTCAAGGCAGTCTCCTCAGGGCCAAGCACAGTGCTGGGTGAGAGTTCATCAGGGTTAATGTTGCACCATTGCCCCCCGAAGACCTTTGGTGAGGGCCCTGCAATCACTGGGTCACTAGGGCATGAGAGGTTTGTCATGGACATGACAGAGGGCAAGAAAACAAGGGACTCTGGTGTACTAGGGCCAGTATCTGTTCATCAAAAGGCAGAGGAACTGGTAGAAAATGAGTGGAAAAGGGCAGATGAAGAGATGGATTCTGGCTGGCTAGAAATAAGAAAAGGAGGACAAACAGGCAGCATGGAGAGAGTGGCCCTGCCAGTAAATAATGACAGAGAAAGGAGCACCGTGGAAAGAGACGTGGCCGAGCATTTAGCCAAGCAGCTGGGCTCCGATGTGGGCTTGTCTCAGCTGAACTTCCAGGACCATGATGCAGGAAGTTCCTCTGACACCGGGAGCGGACAGGGACGGAGCACATCTTTAGAGTGGCTGAACTTCCGCGTCAACCTCAGCTCCACAAGCACCAGCTGTCCCTTTTTCCAGGAGCTGGACCAAAGCAAATGTCTGTGGAAGGGAACAGAGCTGTCTGAGTGCGAGGGGGCATCTCAGTCAGGCGTATCATCCCTCAACTCGGGGGAGGATGGAGACTCAGAGACAGAAACAGAAGGAGACAGCGAGTCATACACGAGCGAGAGGGCCAGACAGGTGAGCAGTTCAACTATGACTCAAGTCTGCTATGGCTCTGCAGCTCTGCTCTGTTCTCTTTCTACACATCCTTCCTGCTGTGAGGTTCACGTTGTGCTGAAATTAATCTGAGTCAGTTAGCGTCAGCAAGCTCACCCTTCCTGTATATTACTGCACTATGTTTGTTTTAGATAAGGAAGTTAGGTACAGGTACAAGTAGAGATGATGTGTGCGCGCACAGTGTGCTTGTGCCTTGTGAATTAGTTCAGAGTCCAATTCAGCTGAAACTGACTCAGCCTGTTGAGTTACCAATGACTACAGGCGACACAAACAATGGGTTTGAGTGACCCTCATCCTATACTCCACATTGTTTCGATTTGAATGAAAGTGTAGTGAGGGTGCAGATAGAGCTATGGTCAATTCAGAGGACAAACAGTGCTTGTATTTACACTAGATAAAACACTATAAGATTTATACTGTTCCAATAAACTGGTGAGTGTACATATCCTGTCACACTTTGGCAGAGGCAATAACCCAGTATAACCCGACCTCTGATTTTAAAAGTTAACTGCTTGTTTTTAGAGTTAATAATTAACAGCTTTGTAAAAATATAACTGACTATCGGAACTCCATATGCTTTTTTGCCTTGCTTTACTTCTGTTTGTCCATATACAGCAAGCTCCACACAGATGATGGATCACTGAATATTTTAGCATTTCATTCTTTGTAGTTTAATACATTTAATTATGTCCTAAAATTAATTTAACATGTTTAAATACATCTCTACAAGCCTGCTGCTTTAAAGCAGGTTTATGTGTACTATACTTGTAGGTTAGTCAGTTAGAGTGCCTTCAGTCTCACTAATTCAACAAAACATACATTTCCATCAATCTAGACTAGTTTGTAAAAGATACAGTCACAGTATTACACATGACGTCATTAAAAAATATATAAAGCACTGATTTTGGCTCGGTCTGTCTTTAAGGGGAGGCTTCTTTGATGTAGATATTCTCTCACTGTGCTCTCCTGTGTAACTATTATGTCCTGTTTGGGTGTCCTCAGGTGCAGTTACCATTTTCTGTAGACTGGATTGTGGATCTCAGCAGAAACGACTTTCAACAGCTGCTTAAGCAACAGGCCTTTACACGTGAACAGCTAGAGTTTGTCCACGATATGAGGCGGCGCAGCAAGAACCGCCTTGCAGCTCAGCGTTGCCGCAAGAGGAAGCTAGACTGTATCTATAATCTGCAGTGTGAAATCAACAAGCTGGTAAAACACAATTTCTTTTTTTAATCAGTAAAATGTTTAAGCCACTCATGGTTTGCAGATGTGTTAATCAGATTTGGTTTTACTGCATGTGTCGCAGAAGACAGAGAGGGAGAAACTGATCATTGAGAAGAGCCAGCTGGGCCAGCTGAAGTTGAAAACATGTCACAGTGTCTCTGTCTTATGCCAGAAGGTCTGCAACGAAGCCAACCTGCAGCCGGACCAGCTCCAGGTGTTAGCCAAATACACCTCCCCAGACTGCCCTTTGTCCTCTTTCTTTCCTCACATAGACGCACTCCTTTCACAGTCAGGGTTGCCACTCCAGCTCCAGCCTTCACTCTCGGCCTCTTTTATGGGCCTTAATGACTATAATAATGCGTCTGAGGCGGCTTCTTCCAGCTCCAGCAGGGATACAGTTACAGGAGATGGTCAACATTCACTTTAGATACACATCCGGCAAATCATGCTGCAGGTGTATACCAAACCCATACAATGGAGCCTGGAGTTATGATGTCAAACATAAAGGTTACCACTCTTTATCATACAGTATCTAAGGACATTACCACAGACTGTTGCCTGAGTACAGGCTGCAAAATGAAGCAGGGGTATACTTGTGATCTCATCATAGTATGATAATACATTTATAATGAGAAGGCCATAATCAACGCATGTTTTGAGTAAATCCCTATCTTTTCAATTTAAGGACTTTTCCACCAATTATAAGTATGTGATGACCATGTTTCCAGCTTCGCAAATAGCTTATTACAATTTGCTTAATGGTAGAAGGCTAAAGGTACCCCCTTACAAATCAGCACAGCCAGGGTGCATGTTGAGAATGTTAAGATTTTAGCATTGAGACAATCACAACTTTAATCATAAATCAAAGGGAACAACAGTCTGTATATTTGTAATGCGCTTCACTGCTTGATTACCTCAGGATTAAACACTTCATCCTTATATACTTTAATTGTTTTAATAAACATTTTGATACAGTTTGATACAATAAGCTTCTCAGGTGTTAATAGGAAATTCAGTACCTCTTGCAGAGAATGTTGGTTCTGCTCTCTCTGTGTACAGGGCAATATAAAACTGCATTCTGCACCAAAAACCAGACAACTCAACAAATAGACCTGACATAGTGTGCCGTGTTTACCCTCTGGTCGTGTGTCTGGCTGTCATATTTCGGGATGTCATTGTGGTCACTTAATCACAGTGACACAGCTCTTCTAGGTTCCACAAACCTCTCAGAGCTTTTGCTTTCACTCACTAAAACAGACCTCACAAATTTGCCTAAATATGTTTAAACAGCTGTCTCAAGATACTAAAAACATTAATGCATGAACAAAATACACTTTTATGAGAAAAGCTGCCTCACACTGTGTAATGAAAACAATCGATGTCCTACATTATGTGTCTGTCCCGTATTGTGGCAGGCATTAGATTCTTGTATCTATCTACCTGATTATCTTGAACACCCTCAACTAAATTACTGTCAAGGGTCAAATGAACACTGTAGCAATAACTCATTAATGAATGCAGTACAAGCTGATTTATCTTTTTATTTTGTGCTTCCCATGCATTAATTCATTTTCTGTATCTTTTCTGTTGATACGCACTTATAACCTTTCACCTATTTTCTCGCTGCTTATAGTCGATATTTGACACTCAGGACAGCTTTGCAACTTCTCTTCTATCAAGTTTCCATGTACTATATGTGTGTATATTTATAGATTTATTGTCACTCATGATAATCATCACAGTGCAGCTGTTTTTTTCTATTAAAATTATTTGTGTATGATATGAAATGAATACTGTAAATACACATTCAGAAATCCTGTATGTATTGATTTTTGTTGTTGTAAATATTGAGTCACCACAATGTATTTTTGAGGACAGTGGGGTTTGAGGGCGCTAAGACGTCTAGTGATGGTTAATGACTTAAGAATGTTTTTTTAGACTATGTTCAGTCAAAGTAAAGAATGATAACGCCGGTGCTTATTGCCCTCTAGTGGCAGTGCATGTACAGTCAATGGACTTACGGCTGTATAGACGTGTGCTACCATATATGCTGCACATACTGCTCTTCTACTGTATTCCTTTATTTTTTGCACATGCAAATCACTGTATCTTTTTATGACAATGTCCAAATGGATTTCTGCATTTTTAAGTTTTTAAGTAAAAAAGAACCAATCAACATTAAAACAGAAAAAATAATGCTTTCAACAGTAAAAGGTGTTGCTATCATCCTCCACTTACTGTATGAAGATTACTGTTGTGCTGAGCAGTGATAATGAAAAACCATCAGTAAGGTTAATGAGATGTAAAATCTGTCGGTGTTCAGTGTGAGTGATGAATAGCGGTGCTCATGAGGTCTTCACAGAATTCATATTTCAACTTGGACAGATATATTAATGATTTAATACCGCACTTATTATTTTATGTTTCACCCTCCTGAATCTCAGTCAGTCTCTCAGTCTCCCCTCTGTTACCTTTAATGTACTTTTGGAGTTCCTCTTTCTTCTCACTCTTACATCACTCCTCGTCTCTCCCTCGTTCTCTCTCTGGAGACTATTTTAATTAACAGAGACGGATATTTCATCTCCCAATTGTATTATATGTGAGCAAACATAGTGTGATGATTAGAAAGCTATACTGATATCTGTAAATCACAGTGATGTTGGTCATTCTCACCTGCTATTCATGCCCCCATCAAAAGCGAGAATTAAAAGAAGATCAACTTGGCCTAATAGATTTTGGCACTAGGGAGTGGGAACCAAGAGTTGCTGAGGTCCCAGGGCTTAAAGATGAGAAAGTCACCGTAATAGAGGAGGTAATTTGCTTGGGAAGGCATGTGTTGGTGTTCACACGCTGTCATTAAGTTTTAAATCCAGTCACACTCAAGTGGCTGCACTTTGGTTTAACATGTGTGTGCCTGTGTGTGTGTGTGTGTGTGTGTGTGTGTGTGTGTGTGTGTGTGTGTGTGTGAGTGTGTGTGAGTGTGCGCGCGGGCGTGTGTGTGTGTGTGTGTGTGTGTGTGTGTGTGTGTGTTTGTCTGTCTGTGTGTGTGTAGGTGTGTGTGTGTGTGTGTGTGTGTGTGTGGACATCCAACAGTGTTTATCTTTCCGCAGAAATGAGACATCTTGGGAGACACACTGTATGAGTCAGTCCTAATGATATGTCACCCTACTAAGCCATAAAAGTTCAGTTGGTAAAATAAAAGAGAGGTTATGCCAGTAAAAATGATAGAAGGTGGATTGGTGGCTTGTTTACAATCAATCAGCATCCTTAACTTTATCTATGAATGATTTTCAAGTTACTGTAAAGTGAATAAAAAGCATGTGGTGCTGCTAATTTGACAACAGATGGCACTACATGAGCAATTACTGATGGGGATGAGAGCAGGAGGAAAGACATCAGTTCTAGTCTCTTCTATCATCTTGAGTTCTTGTTGCTGAATTATGTAACTTTCCAAAAGACTGTTGGTCTGCATGTGATTAAGCTGGCTGAATGTGTTCCGATCTAATAGAGAGTTATTATCTGATAATCTGTGTGAATTCTGTCTGGGAAATGTTTCAAAGGCAGTTGAATATGACCCATTTGATGTGTCTGCTTGTGTTTACCAGCATAAACCCTTGATGAGCTGTCTGTAACCTTTTGTTGCTACAAGACTGAAGCATCGCTTTTCTCCCATCTCGTTTTCTTACTACCTGCTTCTCCCCCGTCTCTCTCCCTTTTTCTCTCTGAGAGAATATGTGGGTGTTTTCTGTAGGTGGTTCTCTGGCAGAGCCTGAGAACTACAGTGAACACAATATGTTAGGCTCATAATCCCAGTAATGAATAGTTAAATCTGTGCCAATTGTTGTCATAGCAAGAGTTAACAGACGAAAACTTTGGAGAATTTTCTTCTAAAATGAAATTAAAGTTTAATTGTATTGTTTTTATTTTTAATTGCATCTTCTGAAATGTAATTACCCCACCCACTCTCACGACTTCATCAAAATTAAGAATATTATAGAACTGAGAAGTGAGCTTCATATTTCTTATTATTCTTGTTTCTTAAACCACCTTGCTTGATGAATTGCCAAAGTGGTTATATAGTATTTTTGGATCATTTGATGGGTTGTTGGTGGTGATGTCTTAACATGAGCCAAGAGCAGACGACCAAATCTAATCCCTCAAGCAGAGAATAATCCACGCAGTCATGTGGCTCCCTAATGAGAACCTGAGAGTCCTGGATCAGCCTGAGGACGACACACACACACACACACACACACACACACACACCTATACACACACACACACACACACACCTATACACACACACACACACACACACACAAACACACGCACATATTTCTTAGAATAAACTAATAACATTTGGAAGCTGATTCACTGTCTCTTCTAGTAATTTGTGAAGCTTTGCTGAAGTACTACAGTGATCATGAGGCTGAAAAATGGTTTGTACCCGATTATTAGATTAGATAGCATGAGTGTACTTGGATGTCACTTGATATGAATGTGTCACAAAAACAAGAACTTTTACTACTTTTACAATAAATAATGAACAAGAACAATCCACAAATGGTGTAATTGTGCAGTGTACTTGTGGGGACAAAACAGTAAATTATGCAGTGTACAGTTCAAACATCTATAGTGTGATGCTGTTGTCACAAGATGCTTGATGCCACACAACCTCATGAGGAGCAAAACTAACACTGTGAAATTGCAATCCTATGCAGAAGGCATTGTTTTATTCCATCAGGCCCTACTGTGCATGCTGTAAATTACTGATCTGACACAGTAAAACGACACTGTTGTGATCAGGCTTACAAACAGTGTGCAAACACTGTTAATGAATAGCAACCAGAGGGAACAATGTAACATATGACATTATACACTTAATGAAATTCATGTAAACGTCCACATAATGCAATTGATTTTATCCCACTTTACCTACCTTGCCTTTTACAGAAGACACTACTATCAAGTAATACAGTAAGTATGTAAGTAATACAGAGGTGGATGGTCACCAAAAAAAGGAACTCCACATACATGACTAAAGTCCACTTGTTGGCAGATCAATAAAAGTACTGCATCTGTGGGTGTGTAGTGGAGCCTGTGCATGGTTTATATAATGCACTGTACATACTGTATGTGAATCAGAGAATGAGGGAAAAGAGGGACAGGGGACATGTAAAAGAAAGACACTAGAAACTGCTGTATTGAGAGAAGACAAAGAGTTTTTAAGGATAAGAAACAATAACGAAGGATGGAACGGAGTGGGAGAGGAGAAAAGATGAGGTAAAAAAAGGAACAAGGACATGGAGTGGAAAAAAAATATGTGTGTGTATGTATGAGTGTGTGTGTGTGCATCTGTGTCTGTGTGGTTGTGAGAACAGCGAGAAATAGCTTCACACAGACGTTAGAGGATACCCATAAAAAAGACTTGATCTAGTTACCATGGATACAGAGGGTTCGACTTTGGCAAATGAACTCATGAGAATGTCCAGTTTACATCCAGACAATCAACACATTTTATCTCTGATGAAGAAAAATAACACACATACACAAATTAGCCAATTATATATATATATATATATATATATATATATATAAATTATAGTTTTATTGTCATGTTGTCTCAAAAAATCACTTTGTTGCAGCCAAATATCGTAGTTATGACAGCAAACTTTAGAGAGAAGGACAACCACTCTCTTCCATTAACTAACATGTCGGACAAGCCTTTGTCAAAAACCGGCTCAGGGAATGCACCAAGGAGGGAGTCAACAAAAGAGATTCACTTATAACAAGAGTAATTTATTAAAACTAAAGTTAACACAAATGAATAATGGAGTGTGTATATCAGAAATGTCAGCAGTGCATGGATGTGTGGTTAATTTGATACGGAGGCGCAAACCACAAGAAAGCAATGCAGGGTGGGTGTAAGCTATAGGAAGGGAAAGACAGGAGGAAGCACAAGGAGCAGCTTTTATAGCCTAAGGGCCCAGGTGAACTCAATCAGCTGACTACCTCCCACCCCCTGAGGCTGGCCAGAACAGTCTCCAAGCTGGTGGGAGGGGTGTCACACCTTTGATAAGAAAAACCTGACCTGCTCCAATGCAACTGCCCACTGGCCATGAAAGACGAGTTACACAAGGCAAGCTCCAGGATGTTTGTGTGTGTTTAACTCTCCCTCCCTTTGCAGCTGCTCTCCCCGACCAAGTTGTTGCTATAAATATGAATGTGTTGTTGCTTAAATTGCCTAATTAAATAAGGCTTACACAATAGTCAATTGTAGGAAAGAAGAAAGGAAAGAAGAAGCAGAATAACATAATACATTAAGCAGCATTACACTCATAAAAGCATAATGTAAATAAATAAAAATCCTAATAAAAAAAGTAATGCATGTGCAAAATTCACATAATTACACAATGGCCATCCACTAAAACGGGTCAATACTGCTTTCTTTGGCTTTTGCAGACGGTAAGGGAAGCTTGAGTGTCTCCCACAGTTATTTTCAGTTCATGTAGAGGTAAAGGTAAATAGAGGGAGGACAGCAATACTTGCAATACTTGCAATACTTGCTTGAAATGTTGAAGATCAGATTTAAGTTGAACAAAACTCCTGTTTTCATTCTGTCATCACTGCACACCTTCGGATGTGTTGCATCAAGCATGCTGGGAGGATTTAGTCTTCTTGTTCAGTTTGGTCAGGCAGATCTGTGCCACTTCCCAGTCCTTTTCCAGGTGAACTTGTCTTCAAAGAGAACATAATCTTGACTGGCTAAAAAGAGGCCCAAAAGGTAAGGTTGGCGGTTTGACACTTAAATGTCAAAGAGCACAGATAAGGGTATTATGGCTACCTGAAGTTGTCCTTGTTTGTCTGCCAAGAACTTTAAACTCACAGTCTTACAAGTTACCAAAACTCTATTAAATAAATATGCAACTTCTGAGTCCATGTGATTTTAGTTTGCAAGCTCTGGTTTGCTTGTAATTGGGCACTGAGAACACAAACAAACCACAGACATGCAGCAAACTAAAGTCTTCAACTCCTGTTTGGACCAAAGAAGCCAAACAGTACTGCAGGTCTGGCTTAGAAGGTCTTGTGGTGTGCCTGTCCCTCTTTGTCCTTCTGTGTCTCCATTCTGTATGGTTCCCCCAATCGCTCCCTCCTTTCATTATTTGAAACAGCCAGAGCAGCTCATCTGCCTGTTGGAGTCTAGCTGAGGTGAGATGGTGTCTGGTACCACGCTTTTCAGGATGTCATTCTCTGTGGCCATGATGTGCTTGACCAGGAAGTTTGCAGCTTCAGATATGTTGAGGTTGTCCTTAAGGAGAGAGAAAATTACACTTAAGTATGGCTCTATAATATGTTTTTACTTCTCTTTTAAATTTAGACAGTTTCATTATTTCTTTGCAGTTTTATTTGTAATTACATAACTTGTATGACATTTTGATTGTTTATATTATTGCACCATACAAATGAGAAAGGAGAATAAAAAACTATTTTAAGTAAACAATGTAAACATATTATGTACATTTGGAAAAGTTCTTTAAAAGCACATAATGCTCCAGCTCAGTAGACATCCAGTGGCTGACCTAGAATGTTCAAAATGTGGGTAACTAGAATGCTATTACCTTCATGTGAACAACACCACGTGTGCAACTTAATGTGTTTGAAACCATTTCATATGAATGCTGTAAACATTTTTTCTAACTGCTACCAAAGGAGGATGTGTAGGTCTGTTTGCGTAGCCACCCTCTGACACCTCTGGCTGAACCTGCACCTCATAACCTTTGACTTTTGAGAATGTTGAGTCTTGATGCCACAAGAATGGCAGCACACTTATGCAGCAACACATTAGTGTCAACAGAGGATGTGTGAATGAAGACATCTGTAGAATTTATAGCTATTTTTAAGTACTGTTTTTGGATCATTAAGGTCCATCCTTACAAACACATCCTATAAAGAAAATAATTATTCAAACCCATATCAGTACACTTTACGTTCTAGTCAAAACCCCAGTGTCTCTTAGCATACTGTGTATATCATAACTATGGGGAAATATGTGGAGCATAAAATATCTAGAATTATATATATTATGTATATTATATATATGTGATGTGGTCAAATACGTTTTGTGTAACTATGAATATACTCAAGTAAATAATTTATTCAATAAAGGCAGAAAAAAAACAGTTAACAATCCTCTAATACTTTTAACTTTTCACTTCAGTAACTTGTTCTGACCCCGCTTTGTAAATTTATCTCACAGAGCCACTTTCCATGAGGATATGAAATTCCAGTTGGCTCTGTGTGGATGTTTTTCACCGCCTGAAGTGACCTGAGTGGGAGATGACCTCCGCTGAGCATGTCAGCCACTCGCTGCAAAGGCAGACAATCTGGCCCCTTCATTGTCATGTTGATAATTAAAGCAATACTTCAACATTTTGGGAAATGCACTTAGAGTTATATGAGAAGATGGATATCACTGCCTGTTAAATATGAAGCTACAACCTGCAGCCAGTTAGCTTAGCTTAGCATAAAGACTGGAGACAAGGACACAACTAGCCTGGGCTCACTAATTAATAGTGTATTGTAGTCACTGTGCCCAGCACAGAAATAGACCTGCACATAACCACCAATAAAACCACAAAATTAGATTTTACACTTCAGATTTTGTACAGATATAACGTGTTAGTGAGACCAGAGATACCAGGACATAGAGTTGTTGATGTTACCTTTAGACAGAGCCAGGCCAGCTGTTTGCCCCAATTTCCAGTCATTATGCTAAGCTAAGCTAATTGTCTCCTGGCTCCGGGTTAATATTTACCTGACATCCATGAGAGTGGGATTGATATTCTCATCTAACTCTCAACAAAAAAAGCCAATAGGAGTATTTCCAAAAAGGCAGGAGTACATTTCACTTCCCACATTGCAAATGACAATAAAACCTTAACCATGCTCCGTTCTCACCTTAGCAGAGGTCTCAAACCACCCGACGAAGCCATGGTCTTTGCAGAACTGGTCCATTTTGATGCCGTTGTTGGTCAACTCCCTGCCCTGGTCACACTTGTTAGCCAGCAGCACGGTGGCAATGCTCTGTCCATCAGCCAGCATTAGTTTGGAGTCCAGGTCCTCTTTCCATTTAACGACGGCCTCAAAGGACGTGTGCCGCGTCACATCGAACACTATGAAGGCTCCCATGGCTTCACGGTAGTACACTCGTGTCATGTTTCCAAAACGTTCCTGACCTGTGATGAACAGACACACACACACACACAGAGAGTTTCATTCAATACTGTGGCGACATTGTTTTTCCCAGCCATCAGTTTGATGAGAGATTCTCATTGTTTTCCTGCATTTTTGCAGCAAAACAACTAATGCGGCTGGAATTAGGACTGCAGTTAGCAGTGCCTGCATTCCCATGAAACAGCACATTCCTGTGGTCTTATTGTCACGTTGCACTTAACCAAACGGTCAATGTGACCGCCTGTTCCTGCTGATAATAGGCCTACTTAAATAAAACCTATAATTTACCTGACCTGTAATGAAAATAAACTTTGACCTAGACCATAACCTTATTCATACGATACATTTGTGAGAATAACCGTGTGAAATGTCTGTGTTTGCATATGCATGCATGTATGTTCATCCATGCTTGTGCATTGTGCAGGGAATGGAAATTAGGTGCTTGAGGAGCGGGTTACAACAGCTGTCAACATGACATTCCCTGGGGGTGTGTGTTCTGCTGTCTAATGTGAGTACTTGTTGCTCCAAAGCTGAGCGTGTAGGCGTGTGCATCCTGCTTGTTTTACATACCATGCCCTCTCAGTAGAAAAGTTTACAAGGTTGATAAATATTAATGCGTGAGAGTCCACTTTTGGCTTTGCTAGAGATACTTCAACTACTGACAGGGACAAAATGTTGCTATTTGCCTCATGAGTAAGAGGAAATGGAAAAACTGACAGGACATGGATTGAGAGCTTCCTCCTTCCGTGTAACAGAATGATGTACAAATGATTTTCATCACTCACAACCCGGGAACCCTCATCTGCGTTGGTGTGACAGCAGTCTTGGACAGACACGCAGGTCACACATGTCAGCTGACACACTGTCATTCTATAAACTGATGGTGCAGGTTTTACATGACTACCGAGTACAACATGTCAAATTTACCACTCCATAAATTAGAACAAAGCAGAACTCTTAGTCTACCCCTACTCCACCCTAGGATGAATTGCAAGGCAGGCAGACAAGCAGATGTGACTTATAATCTCATTTGATGGATCCAAATTAACCGCTTTAAGCATGTGCCTGCATGTGTGTGTATGCACGAGTGACTGAGTGTAATGATGTTTTGTTTTTTATTTAGGCCACAATGACACTCCTGTGACTGGCCTTTAAATCTCTCTCACATGGGCACGATCACATGATGCAGCACCATACCTTGAATGAGTGACTGAATGACAGTGTGCTGGTCTCCCCTGAGGAACAATTAGTGTGTGTGTGTGCGTGTGCGTGTGTGAGTGAGTGTGTGTGTGTGTGTGTGAGAAAGAGAGAGAGAGAGAGAGAGAGAGAGAGAGAGAGAGAATACTGTTTGTGGCAGATACCAGATCTCCAGTGACAGTGCATCTTTGAGCTGTGAATGTTTCATAATTATACAACAGTCATGCCTCACTGTCAATTGGAAGATAAGCCTTATCTCCGCAAACCATCAACTTTTTCGGAACTACACACAAACAGCGTTACAACATTTTGACTTTTTTCAGAGGGTTGCTTACTTCTTGCACATTTTTAAATACAAAAACAATATATATATGCCATAAAAACTGTTCAACACACATGCCTGACACCCATCAATGAGCTGTATTGGACCCTGCTTTTGATTTACTTACTTTTGTGGCAGCAGGAGATCATAACTTTTACACTCAGAAAACACATTCTTAAACAACTTCTCCACTGTCCCACCTGCAATGTCCCACAGCTGAAGCCGGACAGTCTCAGAGTCCCAGTTCAACACCTTCAGGGCGAAGTCCACTCCGATGGTGGCCCGGTAGTTGGTGGAGTAGGTCTGGTGGATGTACCGCCTGATGATGGAGGTCTTCCCGACCCCCAGGTCTCCGATAACCAGCACCTTGTACAGGTGCTCTTTTCGGATATTCTGCATGCCGTTGGTGTGTGAAGTGTGATGGGTCATTCCACCTGTCGGATCTCGGACGCAGCAGCTTTCAGCAACTCGGGCTCAGTGTTGAGAGAGAGTTTGAGGCTTCGTCCCCCTGATCCCGTGTGTCTCCCTCTTCGTAACGGGTTAAGGGACCGCCCTCCTTGTAAGGAAGTGTGTGATCTGCTCAGGGGCAGTGCTTGGGAACTTGTGACCTCGCCTCGTCACCCTGGGGAGACGCGCAATGCAGGCACAGTAGTTCCTGTTAATATGAGCCTGGGAGTCTCCAAAATAAAACACTGCCACGTTATGTAGCCTAACTGTCAGTTATCCAAAATAAAGATGCGATGGCGTGCAGGAGAAGGCACTGGCTCTGGCGTTTTATTATACTGTAAAAAGGATATCTTTTAAATGCTGAACTAAAACAGATTGTCTGTTTACGTGCAGCTAAAAAATGCTGTCATAATGCAATTAAGGTAGTAATGTCTGCTGGTCATGCTATGTACAAACTAGAGGGAGAGAGCTCCCATATTAGTATTACTATAAAAATAATTCCTTAAATTATAGTTTTAATGTCATGTTGTCTCAAATATACACACAAGCCACATTCTGACAAAAATAGTTGGTTTAAGGTTGAATACTTCTGGCAAACTGAGAGATAATGTGAGTGGGGCACCTTCAGGTATTCTTCAGATTATAATCCATAGAATGTATGTATTCAGTATAAACAACTAATCCTCATCAGTGATGGCCAACTATTCTCTGATTTTGGCCATAAGTGGACCATGCAAACATATTCACTTAAACCAATTTAACCAAAAACAGGCAGAGAAGACTTTTTGTGCCAACCTAAGTGGGGCCTGTTGCAAGAAGCATGTTTATTGAGATATCAGGATAACTTTAAAATATAGAACCACACACTACCAAGTGTGGTATTACTGGTATTACTCAGCAAAGTTCCAGTCTCAGCAGACCACAGACCTGGTAATATCTGCCACATCTGCTAACTGCATCACAGAGCACTGCATTTTAGAGCATTCACACAGACAAACAGATGCAAAGAGGATGGCAGTCTCTGCACTCAATCTGTAGCTTGATTTACATATTCAGCTCTGTTTGGCCACTTGTGAACTGTACTTGTTCTCTGGGGGACTCAACACAAGGGCTATTATGTCATAGGAGGGGTTGCTCACAGAGCTCTACAGGACATCCCACAGTGACAACAGACATCCAGCTGCTTTCTTTTCTCTCTTGTAGCTTCACATGTGGATGTGGAGTTTCAGTGATCCCTTTGTGTCCTCTGACATAGTCCAAACACTGCTGCTGGGCAGAAAGTAGTAGAGGCAATAATGCTGAACTGGTTGTTTTCTGTTGCCTTTATTAACACATATATGTATGCCAAGTTAGAGATGACTAAGGCTGTGATTATACATATGTTCCTGCAAACTCAGCCCTCATGCGCTCAAGCCTATGAGTTTTTAATCATGTGACTCTAAAGTGGTCTGTAGGAGTGAGAGAAATAATAATGCCTCCAGTTCCAGGAGCGTAACCTCCCAGCATGAAGTGTGTCTGTATACCGACTACCATCTGTAGTGCTCGGTATACACTTAATTGACACTTTATTAGGTTCCGTAATAAATCCGTTTCTTCATGAAAGTTATAATGTTCAGTGTACATTTATATCAGTAAGGGTAGACTATTCAACAGCATATATCGGCATCAGATTTCCATGATAAACAATGAGTTGGTCCATTGAGGTCTTGCTCTCTCCCTGGGCTCATTAAACCTATTACGCTCTATGAATAAACTTTGCCCACCATCGTGTGAATATTAATTTCACTTTGGTCTACACTTCACAGCATAGGAAATTACATCACATGTTATTTAATAAAGAGTGCCCTAGAAACCCTATTTCCCATTAGGTTTATTAATTATCGCACTGTGATTTGACACAATTATCTTCTTATTTAGAAAAGGTTCATAAGTAACATCAACTTAAGGTGTAAAAATAACGCTGCACATGATCCAGTTCTTGGCATTTAAAGGAAACGTGACTCCTTAAAACATGATATGAATTTTGTTTTGTTTATTTTTGAAATTCAATCAGCCAAATAAAATAAAAAACACAAATTCTGCAATTTTTGCTGCAGATGATTAAGTATGGTATATTAATTTCATTTTGAGACCTTTTCTTCCAGTTATACTCTTGAATTTTGAATAGTGAGATAAAGTATTATTCTATTATTGAAGAATTTCTATAAGGTGATTGAGTTTTTCCTACAATGTAAATAAGGAGCATATACAATGAATAACAAATTATTGTAAAAAATAAATAAATAAATAAAAAGTAAAAATGTTGGATCGAAAAGTCTGATGCAGCACAAGTCTAAATAGTAAATTCTGGCTATCTGAAAGGCAGACAAAAAGATAAGACCAAGACAAAAGTCTTCTGTAGATTATATCAATTATTGGCTTGAAGACTGAAATGCATCCGCAAATCTCAGTTGGCACAAACCTGCATGCAAATATGGCAATTGTCTATGATTTTACATTGAAAACAGGTAAAAATACTGCACATTTCAAAAAACATAAACACATTCCTGCCTGTGTAAACATAAAGAAATACACAAGCTAGCTCCCACATAAACATCATCAGTTACATCGGCTAGCTTTTAAATCCATACAATCATAAATCTACATCCTCAGAGAGGCCAAAATGTCGATACAAAACAAAAGAATTTAAAAAAAGAATATTCATTGAATATATTCAAGCATAAGAAAGAACATAGTCATAATGTCATAAAATGTTATAAAAAAACAACATTCTCCTTATAATGCCTGAAAGATGAGAATCTAAATGGGCTCACAGTGGGATTCTCAATGTGAGCCCATTTAAAGACACACAATGTATTTTAGCAGTCAGACATTGGCACATATGTAGGTAAAAAGCCAGGCTGGAAACACTGTTTCGCAATAGATGTCTGAAAACACACATTCACTTCTCTCCTCCTTAAACTAATCCTAAAAACACATCAACATCACTAAAAGTATCATTACTTTGCTACTGAATCTATTAATCTTATTGGTTTGACATGTACAATATCAAAAAGTATCTTGTTACAAATAGAACTTAAAGAGTGCAAACAGATCTTGACATCATGCAAACTGGAAACATTTTGAGCCAACAGATGACGGCGCTCGTTCGGCAGGTAGGAGTTGAAGTCAGAAAGTAGTTTGGTTCAGACACATCCTGAGGTGGAAGATCATTTTGGTCCACTTCAAATGAGAACTTATCGTACATTCAACTAAGTCACGTCTAGAAAAAATAATTGAAGAAGACATCCAAGCAGTCCATAAGCTCTTTGTGGGTTAGACACCTGATGACGTTGTGTCCATTGAGACAATATCTTACTTTCCCTTGAGATGTAAAGAGCTCCTCTCCTCTCAGGATGGTTTTTATTCTCAGTAAATGTTCTCATTCCAAGAAAAGGGAAGGTCATTGAGAACTTTCCACACAGAAAAACCTGCATCCGGATTTGCATAATGCAGAATCTGTACACTTTCCCCTTTAGCACTGTGATACAAAACCTTCGCTTCCAGGATGGACAACAAATTAGAGGTTTGACTTTCTGATTTCAGGCAAAGTTATTTGAGATACTTTCTTCTGCCTTGCTAATACAATCTGCATCCGCCTGGGTCTCAGAATATGAAAGATTAGGGCAATTTGTCAGTAACAAAAACATCACATACAGAAAGCCAACAGCAATAATATAAGCAATAAAAACAAATCACGGTTTCTGTGTTTATGATCATAGATTATGTAAAATTGAAAGAAAAAAAAAAAAACTAATACAACTACCTTTAGTGTTCTAATACCTTACTTAAAAAATGCCATTTTGAGATTCAATATATGAGTCATTTTTGGCATAATCCAAAGAAACACTGAACATAAATATTTGGTAAATTTCCCCTACTTATGATTGATAGCCATTTTATAATTCAATAAAAATGTAATTGGCAATTTTACAGTTTGTTTTCTCAGCTTATCAGCATTTCTTTGGAATTTGTTTAAAACTGAGATAGAAAGCTGTGTCATTTGTAAAATGCCCATATTTCAGTTTGTCAAGGTTTCTCAAACTCTCTTGGAGACAAAAGATGAAGCACTGACATTGCTCAGCTTAATTTCAACATTTAGAATTTGCAGTCTTGCCACTGGAGTCCTCTCAATGGTAGCATGTGTGGGTGCATTCAATCCAATGTGAAAAAGAAAACATATTTCAAAAACAGCTCAAACATTCAGAATATCCACATGAAGAAAGGCATCCAAGAGTTTGGTCCAGTCTGAAGTTTTGTCTTTTGGTGTCTGAAATACTCCAAATAGGGGGATAAGCAGGGTGGAAAAAGGAGTAGCCTACGGAGAGCAGGTTTAGAGAGAGGAGGAGCTCTGGCTGTAGTGTTTCAGCAGCAGCTGGTCATATTCAGCCTCAGAGGCTGGGGACATGGAGGGGGGTGAGCTGCCGTCGGAGCTCAGAGATGAGTCTCTAAACGGGGAGGGAGGCGTCAAAGCCACCAGCTCCTCCATATCCTTGGCTCGCCTGCTAGCCACACAAGTCCCAGCCAGGTGCTCATAAATCTTACCTGCTGGCCGATTCTCGCAGAAATTGGAGACGGCCGCCACCTCAGCGTATGTGGTGACAGTGGAAGGGGCCTGTCTGCTCCTGGTCGGGAGGTACTGAGTTGGGCAGGGGGTGGCTTCTGCGGCTGCGGGTAAAGGAGTGGTGGAGGTGGGACTGACAGTGACTCCCCCTGGCAGCATCATGGTGTTCAGCTCACTGATGTTGGCAGTGAAACGGTTAACCACACAACTGATTTGGTCCATGATAGTGGTGCCCTGAGGTTGGCTGCCAATCATCCCTATGCCGATGTCACCCACACCAATGACGCTAATGTCCCCACCATCCACAATACCAACACCCTGGCTGTTGTCCCCACCTCTTCTTCTGACCCCAGCAGGGTGCTCAGGTACGTAGGTGGGTAAAGCTTGTGCCTCTTCTCCGTTCTCTCCTCCCTGTAAACCCCTTGCCTTCGCTGCATGCTCGCCGATGGCGGGCAGAGGTGACTGAGACGGGGAGCAGGTGAAGGGCTCAGACAGCTGTGGCTCTTCATACTGCTCTTTGACAGCAGTGTCTGCCG